AAACTCTTAAGTATAGATCTGATAAATCAAAGGCTCTCTCTTATATCCTTTGTGAGACCATTCGGTCCACGGTGAATCTAACGACCATCTGCAGCCTTAATGTGACCATTCGCTCCATAAGATCAATCCCTTTCATCATTGCTAAGCTATCTAACCCGTGTAATCTCCTTTCATTTTGTATCATCATCTCAATCAACATTGTTAATCACTTGTTGTTTCGTATCGTCGTCATCATCATTATTGTTTGTCAAAGTGTTCATCATATCCACGGGTTCATTCAATCATAGTTTAACTTTCAAAGTGATGATTCATAAGGGGAATCATATTAGATTATGTAGACTTTTTAAGTAGACTTCTCTTCTCGAGTAGACTTCTCTCTCGGACTTCTTAAAGACACTTATATTACATAACTTTAAGGTGATTCAGAGGGATATTTATATTACATAACTTGTCGATCGAGTAGACTTCTCAAGTAGACTTCTGATAGCTTGCTATATTAAAGCACTTTAGGCTGCATTTCATGCATCTTTTTCTTTGTTTTTGCATTATAGTTTAGCATTCTAGTCTCATTTGCACTTTGAATCAACATTGCATGCATTTAGTTTAGGAATATATACATTTGCATACATGTGCATGTTTGTGGTGATTTTCAGGTGTTTTTGGAGGTTCTTGGAGTTGGGAAGGAGATGAAAACAGCTCATGATCGAAGAGGATATCAAAAAGGAGCTTCTGCAAAGTCTGGTCCCATATCGAGCAAGACCTTTTGTGGAGTGTGCTCGATGTAAGCCGCAAGTCGTGAGTAAGAGGATCGGTTCGAGGAGTCCAAGCCTTGGGTCTGCATCGAGGTCCAGCATCGAGCAAGAAAGCCGATACGCACTGCACGAGCCATATCAGGGTTGTACATCGAGCAGAACACCGTCCGTACAATCCCGATGCAAAATGTCCGCGCGTTAACCATCTAATTTTTGTTGACCTTATCTTGTTTTTAGGTTTTTTTGTGCTTCTTTTGGTTCCCTACTATAAAAGGGAAGCTACAAATTGTCTTAATCATATCTTAGTCTTTCTATTAAAAACTTTCTCCTTTCATCTTATTCTTAAACCTTAAAAGGCGATTTGATCTATAATCATTTTCTTTAATAAAGTTTGCACTTTTATGGTTTAATCTTGTTTCTTGATCATTATTCTAGCACCCTGGTAGTTAAGATTTATTATCTTTGCATTTTAATCTCATCTGATCATGTTTAACTCTAAACAAATGGTATTAAACATGATTAGTGAGTAGTTTACTTTAGATTTAAGGTTCTAAGTAGGGAAAATGGTGATTAAGATGTGATTAAGGGGTGATTAGGCTAGATTAGTTTGTTCTCTGTTGTCTCCTTCTCTTGCAAAGTGATTATTGTTCATAAAGCTTGCTCCTTTTGATTGAATATGGTATTGTTAATGCATATGGTTCACTTGATGTCTTGTTATCTCATTTCTATGCATGGTTCGCTTATTTGGCTTGATAGTTTAGCTTGGTCTATGTTTCCTATGTTCAGTGATACCAAAGTGATAGTTCACCTTGCTAGATGATTTGTTTAGGGCTAGATAATGTTGGTTTTGAGGTTCTTGCTTGATGGTTAGATAGTATGCATTGAAAGATCTTGCCTTTGTTTGATTCCTCTTCTTTGCGTAGCATTGTTAGGATTTTGCAATTGTGTGCTTAAGTCCATATTCTTGATTGGTGCATAGCTAACTAGATCCCTATATGGTTCACAAGATTGATAGGTTGATCTGAATTATTGCTTGAGTGTTTGTAATGGTTCTGATCTTGTTTGCTTGTATAATACTTCTCTAAGGCTATAATGGTTCTGATCTTTATGCTCATGGTTGAAGAATACACTATCACAAGTGGGTTTGACACTTCAATCTTATTGAATATGAATTGCTTATTGACGCCAAGCTGATTCCTTTTAGATACCTTGTCTAGGAGTTGAAAAGAAGAATTTGGTGGGTTAGATTTGCATTCCAACTCAAATTTTTAAATTATTTTTGTAACTATCCCATAAAGTGTGAAAAATATAAAAGTGTTGAATAAATATGGAAAAAAGAAAACGATATGAAGTGTTAAAAAGTAAAAAAGTGGATCTATATATATAAAGTAAGCTTTTCTCTCTTCTGGTGCTGCTACTTCAACAACTACATCATTTGTAATTTATTTAAGTTCTTTTAAAACAAAAAATAACATTAACATTCTATATAAAAGTTAGAAATAATAAAAAGATAATTACAATATGTTGTCAGAAATGAAATAAAATAAAACAAAAAAAATTATTATATGCATTGGCTTTGAAATATTTCAAGTTTCAAAACGAAAATTTACGAGTGTGTGATGGGAATTAGTAATTAGAAAGACAGAAAACAATAAAAAATAACATTAACATTCAATATAAAAAATAACAAACATAAAAATACAATTATTAATATAAAAAATAACAAACATACAAAGACAATTATAAATGTGTTGTCAGAAAAAAAAAATAACAAAATCAAAAAATAATGATATACATTAGCTATGAGTAATCCATGATTCAAAACAGAAATTTACAAGTGTGTGATGGGAATTGGTAATTAGAAAGATAGAAAATAATAAAAATTAATATTAACATTCACTATATAAAATATATATATATAATAATAATAATATAAATATATAAATAAAGTAAACTTTTCTCTCTTCTGGTGTTGCCACCTCAGAAACTACATCATTAATTATTTTAATTTAAAGTCTTTTAAACACAAAATGATATTAACATTCAATATAAAAAATAGAAAAAAAGAAAAAGAAATTACAATATGTTGTCAGAAAATAAAACAAAATAAAACCAAAAAATTATTATATACATTAGCTTTGAATATTTCAAGATTCAAGGTGAAAATTTACGAGTGTGTGATGAGAATTAGTAATTAGAAAAATAGAAAATAATAAAAATTAACATTAATATTCAATATAAAAAATAACAAACACAAAAAAACAATTATAATGTGTTGTCAGAAAATAAAATTTAAAATACAAAATAGCAAAACCAAAAATAATGATATATATTAGCTCTAAGTATTTCATGATTCAAAACAGAAACTTACGAGTGTGTGACGGAAATTGGTAATTAGAAAGACAGAAAATAATAAAAATTAATATTAACATTCAATATCAAAAAAATAGTAAACATAAAGAGACAATTATAATATGTTGTCAGAAAATAAAAGATCAACAAATACTATAAAAGAAATAGTGATATACATTAGCTCTGAGTATTTCAAGATTCAAGGCAGAATTGTGTGTAACCGAGATTGGTAATTAATATTAACATTCAATATAAAAAAATAGCAAACAAAAAAAATTATAATGTGTTGCTAGAAAATAAAAAAATTCAAAAAAATACAATATAAAAAAAATATAAAAACCTATAAATAATGATATACATTAGCTTTGACTATTTCAAGATTCAAGGCAAAAATTTACGAGTGTGTGAGGGGCATTGATAATTAGAAAGGCAGAAAATAATAAAAATTAACATTAACATTCAATATAAAATAATAGCAAACATAAAACGTCAAATTATAATGTGTTGTTAGAAAATAAAAAATCAACAAAATACAAAAAGAAAAATAATAATAATGTTATAGATTAGCTTTCAGTATTTCAAGATTAAAAGCGGAAATTTAAAAGTGATATGAATTGGTAACTAGAAAGACGGAAAACAATTTCTAGAAAAAATCTAATAGAAAATAGAACAAGAAATTCAGGTAACAAAACGGGTTCGAGAAATTGCATTATCTAAAATCTTTTCACAAATTCTCAATAATTTGGATGAAAGTCAACTTCAAAAAAATATTTTGGAAAAATTCTGAAAAGTCGAAGAAATTTAAAAGAAAATATAGAATTTTAAAATTTTTAATTCTTAAATAGATAATTTGGATATCTAATATCATATATGTTCTCTTTTCTTATCTGTTTAAAATAAACCAAATAATCTTAAATGGATAATATTTGATCGAAATTGAGATAAGACAAGAAATTCAAAATGAATATATTAAACAAAAATAAAGAATCACAAAATGTCTAAAACTATATGATACAATAAATATAATATAAAAAAATACATAAAATTATAATAAAATTCTTTTATTGCGCGTATCACAAACTAGAATTTTGAAAAGATGAAAAATTCAAAAGAAGTACATCTGAGAAATAGAAATCTAACTTAAAATTTTAAAAAAATATACAATACAACAAATTTAATACAAAAGTTATATAAAAATGAATCATATAAAATTTAATACAAAAAATATATAAAAATGAATCGTGTAGCACCAACTAGTGTTCAATAAAAAAACCAATGTAAATAGTCTTATAAGTAGTGCCGCGTAGACACGGGTTCATTCCTGATGTTTTTCGGTTGTCGTGGTTATCGTGATTTGTGTAGTAGTCGAATCACACCATTTGAGTCGGTCACTATAAACCAATATCTCAATCGTATAACACCATAAGCGAAAACCAAAAAAGATAACAGAGAGAGAGATTATCCTTGTAAAACCGGAATCTGAATCGAAAAAAAAAAAAAAAAAAAAAAAATCTCGATAGATCAAAGCAAAACGATCGCCTTCTTCATCGCCTTGCTTCGCATTTGGTAAGATTGTTTTTTCTTTTTTCATTTTCTCTCTGCCCTTTCTAGCTTCTAATATCGTTAATTGATCTTCTTCCGGTAGTGAACCCGATGTTGATTTATGAATTGGGTCTTTGTGATTGCTGCTAATCTGAGGTGAAATGTGTTGATTTTGAGGTCTAATTGAGTAGTTTTCACCGACTATTTGTGATTGGATCGATTCAGCATATCTCGATTCACTGTTTAGGTTTCTTTGGCTTCATCGGTGAAGCGATTTAAAGTTGGTTTCTGCGATCGAACAAAGTTGAAACTTTGTATAGTTCTCATCAAGTGTATTTTTGGGTTTTTGTATAGATGGCTCCCGTTGGTCCTCGATCCGGTGATGCGATCTTCTCCAGCATCGATCGCGTGGTAAGTTCATATTTTAAAGAATTTGGGTTTTCTCCTTTTTATTCCTCGTGTTTCTTAAATCTACGATTTGGAGTTGATATTGCTTCATTACGATTTGGGATCGATTTCATTGGATAAGCCTCTCTCTATATCTATGCTTCATTTTGTAATTTTCGAGGATTTGAGCTTTGAAGCCAATTCAGAATCTTTGATTCAGTTTTGTTATAGAGACTTTGATCTCTTGGAATTTGGATAATTTTTGTAGAATGCCGAGTTGTTCATGTTGACGTATGGAGCAATTGTGCGTCAATTGCTTACTGACCTGGAAGAAGTGGAGGAAGTCAACAAACAGCTTGATCAAATGTAATCTTCTTCTACGTTTTTTTCTGTAGCTCTCTTCCATGGCATCTCATCTCGATTCACAGGCTTTAGTTTTGGCCTTGATTCCCATGAAAGTTTGTATTTTTCATTCCATGACATTGAGGGCACAAAGAAGGCATTCGACTTTCAGGAACATATTGATTGTATACATTCGGTCCATTCTGCAGGGGATACAACATTGGAATCCGACTTATCGATGAGTTTCTAGCCAAATCTGGTGTTTCCAGATGCGTTGATTTCAAGGAAACTGCTGAAATGATTGCCAAGGTTTGCCATCTCCATTGACTTACTTGTTTAGTATCACCATTTCACAGATCTTGAAGTGTCCCAGGCATCGAAGAACGAGAGATTACTCTTCTTCGAGTTATATGAATGTTCATTCCGCTTGACACTGCATAAACGTTATATATCAAACATATTTAAGATATCTGTTTTGGTTTTATAATATTGAGAAGCTGTAACAGGCTTTGCGTTATTACGTAGGTGGGATTCAAGATGTTCTTGGGGGTCACTGCATCAGTGTCAAGCTGGGAGGCGGATGGGACTTGCTGCAGTATAATCTTGGAGGACAACCCGCTCGTTGATTTCGTGGAGCTTCCCGATACTTGCCAAGGTCTTTACTACTGCAATGTCTTAAGTGGAGTCATTAGAGGGGCTTTGGAAATGGTCAGACTCCTTTTTCCTTCCCACTTCTTTGATTACATAGTGTGCGTTTTCATGCTATTTAGAAACTTCTCTTACTGCCTCCATTAACCAAAAAGTTTGGGCTCACTGTTTTATCTTCTTTGTTTTTTTTTTTTATTTGAACAATGACCAGGTCTCAATGAAGACAGAAGTGACATGGACACGTGATGTTCTGCGAGGAGATGATGCTTATGAGTTGCAGGTGAAGTTACTGAAGCAAGTCGCTGAGGAGTATCCTTATAAGGATGATGAATAAATGGTCACTCTCTTGTCTTCACTCTTCAACAGAGAGAAAATAATTACTATTTGTTGTCCTTTGCTCTCTCTGAATTCTTAGCTTTCTTGTTTTTTTTTTTTTTTTTTTTTCCAGAAACACAAACCATAATATTGCTTTTATGTTTGGTACGAACCCTTTAATCTGTTTCTTAGTGTTCTTATAGGTTTATGATAAAAAAAAAAAAAACTCTCGTTTACGCTTATCAACCACAAATACTGTAACCGACGATCCTCTGACGAGCATAGTGGCCCTTTTTTATAGTGTTCTACTCTCTAATGTATATTCAATGGTAATTGCATAAAATTTGTAATTTCTGTGGCTTCTATATCAACTCAAAATAGTACTTAATATTTGTATGAATTTTTTTTATTAAGGTTTCAATGAAAAGAAAAAGAATGAAAGGAAAAGAGAAGAAAAAAAATAGGAATAAAAAATATATAAGAAAATAAATAATATATTTTATTTTTTCTAAATTTATAAAGAATATATTTGTTTTATAATTTTTTATATAATAAAAGATAAAAAAGAATGATAGGAAAATAATATTACTAGTAAAGAATGAAGAGTAATTTATTATTAATTTTTATTTTTTTAGTCACAAGTTGAAACTTTAGTATAAAATTTAACATTTTTATGAAAAAAAAGAACAGATTTTTTTTCTATCTCTTCTGTTTATATGTGAATTTTTCTGAACTCTTCATTCTCTCTGTCACTAATTTATCATCTCTAATTTTTCTGTGTCAGGAGAGCGGTGCTTCTCACCGCCTTCGTGGGAGAGATTGTCTCTCTTTCATCTTTCTGTCGGCCTTCTTTTTGCTGGTTTTTCTGTTTTGTTGGCTATAGATCTAAGGTGATATAATATTAAAAATAATGAATCAAAGGTTTTCAGATTTATTATCAGAATCTTATGTTTATAAATTCAAAAAATCAAAAAAATCTCATACAATGCCCAAGACAATATTAGTGGCAAGAAGCCATAATTTGATTTAGCTTATTTTTGTCTTTTTATTTAAATGTATATAATTTATTTTAAATATATTTAATTATAAATATTTTTTTGTAAGAGATATAAAAGTTCAGTTTTTCTCATTGTAAAAATCTGTAGAAATTTTCGGAAATGATATAGAATTTTCTCTAGAAGCTTAGGCTTTGTTTATTGTTGTTTTTAGATTCATTTATTTTTACTAATTCTTATGATAAAATTGTTTGTGTGATTCAGACAAGTCTAATTCTAATGGCTGAGTGAGTCAGCCATTCCACCGACTGAATGAGTCAGTCAACCCACCGATTGGTTGTTTTTTTTTTTTTTTAATTTTCATATACTCAACAAGACCAGAAAAATTGTTTTATATTTTTGTTTTTTGATTCATATTTTTTTATTAAAAAGCCATAAATTATTTTCTATTAAAAAATAATAATACGGTGTTTCTAGTTTTTGTTCATTTGTTTTCAATTTAAATAAAAAATACAAACATAGTTTTTTGAATTTTCTTAAAGTGTTTATAAAAAAAAAGAATTTTTTTGTTTTGTTTTGAAGACAAAACCATTTGAAAAAGAAAAGAATGATACAATATCAAACATAGTGAATCAAATATCTTCAATATGTGGATTTATTATCAGAATCTCATGTTCATAGATTAAAAAAGTCAAAAGATTTTCATGCAATGTCCAAGGCAAAATTAGTGGAAAAAAAACCATGATTTTGTCTAGCTTATTTTTGTCCTTTTGCTTAAATGTATATAATTTACTTTAAATGTATTTAATTGTAAATATATTTTATAAGACCTATAAAAGCTCAATTGTATTGCAAAATATATTAAAATTTTTGGAAAATGAAAGTGAAATTTCTTCAGAAAGCTTAGGTTTTGTTACTTTGTTCATTAGAGATTGTGTGGAATCACGTCTCTTGTATTTTTGCGAGTACTTGAGTGCTTTGTGGAATCAGACACTTGAGTTTTTGTGTAGAGACTTGTATCCCTCACGAAAAAATAGTCTTTAGGATCCTGCCTCTAACCCTGCTTGTTGTGGAATTGATCAGCAACTCATGTGTAGACCTTGGTGGATTCCGAATCTTATATCATCAGGTTTTTTGGTTGTTTAGTTCTTATTTGCGGTGATGTTACATGATCGTTTAGGTGGTTCTCCTAGCTTCTGTGCTCATTGTCTCCTCTAGCCTCCACTTCAGAAGGACAGTTGTCGGTTTCAGGTGCGATCATGATTTGCTTAGGATTTTACTTTCCCATGTGGATCCTTTGACACTTTCACCTTTGTAATTGTCTGTTTTAGGGTTTTGAGCCTTGTTGATGGTTTCTGTGGTGAAGTTTTGAGGACAGCTCCATCTGGTTCCTGGAAGCGTCTTCTCTTGGCGATTCCCTCCATGTTGCAGCGGTAGCTGTTTCTAGCTCCTCCATGCGACAGAAGGTTTTGGGTCTGGTGGGCATCCCTTTGGTTTTCTCACTGGCTCCATTTCCCACTTGTCTTCTTATACTTTCGGGTGCGTCACAGGGGTCGAGTGGTCTTTTTTCGTTTCTGTTTTCCTCTTCTATTTCCGTTGGACAAAATAGCTAAGTGGTGTTTCGGCTAGGGTTTTTCGCCGGTGGCTTTCTGGCAAGTGTTACCGGCGCGTCTTCCCCACCGTCATGTTGTAGGGTGGAGGTTTATGGTAGGGGTTGGGTTCGGTTGGGGCTGCCTCGGCGATGGCCAGTGGTGAGGCTTCAGCGTCAGTTTTCTATCGGCCAGAGCTCCTCTCCATGTTGCTTACTTTAGGTTACTTCTCTGTTCTGTTTTGGTTTCTGGTGAGTCCTTCTTCACCCTTCGATGTGATTTGTTTCAGGTGTTGGTTCAACGGTTCTAGATGGATTCAAATTTCTGTGGGTGATAGCTTCGATGGTGACTTGGTTTTGAATAGATAAGATGGCTCTTGCTTAGCAAGCAATTACTTTCCATGGGAGATGTTTCTCGCAGTTTTCTGAAGCTCGGGATTGGTGGCTAGAGGCGGCTTCTCTAGCTGCCTGTAGAACCTCTCGTGCTGCCGGATTGTGATTCAGTGGGTAATTATACGAGGTTTGAGGCAATGACAATGAAGACTCGAGTTCCCTGGAATTGCAAGTGCAAATTTCCGAATGTAGGTTGTTCAGAATCAATGTTTCATCTTTGGGATTCCGCTGCTCGACTTTGGTGTAGGCATAACTTGTTGTTTTTATTTTTTTGTTGTTTTCGTTAGTAACTGATCCTTTATTTTTATTTTCCTCTCTATCTATTTTTTACTTTTTTAAAAATTTTTTATCTCTATTCAAAAATAATATAAAACTTAACATTTTAATTAATAAAAAAAAATATTGCATAAACCAAGCAGAAGTTACAGGAAGCTCTATTTATACTTCTATACTACGTGTGTCGTTCCGCACCTTGCACGAACATAAAGATTTTACAAATATTTTTAAGTTTTAAAATTGAATACTTTAATAAAACTTATGAATATTAATTTTGAATTTTGTTTTTGTTTTTGTTCAACAATTTCTTCTATTAAGTTTAACCATCAAGATGACAATAAATCAAATAAGAAAAATAACATACATTGTTTTATACTAAAGACATCAGTTGAGTTCAAAAGTAGAAGTTGTTATCTTAAAATTATTTAAATAGTTCAAACACCTAAAGCATTACCGATTATTGTGGTTCTAACTTTATGTTGTTACTTCAAAATTTTATTAATACAATATTTTTTAAATTTTCTTTGTTTTCTGTAACGTTATCGAACAAATCACTTATTTTACTTTACACAGTTTGTCGATAGTTAGGTCGTCTGCACCATATACGGGCATACACATTAAGAAATTAATAAAATTTGAAGAAAAATAAATATATACAACACCATATAATATTATCTTGTGTTTCTTTCAATATATTTAACATTTACAGCTGTAACACATTTTCCAATATTCACACCAAATTTTTATATCCATTATATAAAAAGTTGAATTCAAATATTTTTAAATAGATATAAATCTAAATCAATATAAATAAATAGCTCAGTAGATTTATCAATCTATTTTAATGTTGTTCTAGAATTCTTAGAAAAGAACTCAACTATTTTTCTACTTTGTCTACTATGTCTTTCGGTTTTCTTCTTCCTCTATCAATTCTTCTTCCTCTTCATCGCTTTCATCACCTCGTCAGATTTTTTTTTTCTATTTCCGTTTACTTCTTCCTCATCTTCGTACTATTCATTTTTTTAAAAAAAATTATACTTTGTATTCATCTTCATTTTCGTTATTTTTTCAACTTTTTCTTTATTGACTTTGTCTTTTTCTTTATCTTTTAATTTTTTTCTTTCTCGTCTTCTCATACTCCTCATTTTTTAATTATATTCATCTCATTTGTACATCTTGTTATTTGATAGTTTTTCTTCTTCCTATTCATCTCCCCTCTCCTTCTTATTTTCTTCATTTTCTCCAACAATTTACTTTGCTGTTTTTCTTTTTTCTCGTTTACCCCTTCTTCTACTTTTATTTTCTTCATTCTCCACTATATTTATTTTTTCTTCTTCTTCCGGCTTTTATCTTTTTTCCAACTCTCTTATGTTCTTTTCCTGCATCTTTTTCATCTTCTTCTTCCGGCTTTCATCGTTTACCCCTTCATATTTGTCATTTGTCTTCTTCATTTTCTTCCAATTTTTATTCTTCTTTAACTTTGTCCACGTCTTCCTCTTCGACTTTTCTGACTTCTTCTTCTTTCTTTTCTATATCTTTCATTTTTTTTCTTCGTTGTGCTCTCACTTGGATTCTTCAACGTCTTCATCTCATACAACTTCATTTTCTTCTTTTTTACCCACTAATATTTTATCTTCTTCATTTTCTATTACTTTTTATTCTTTCAGTTTTTATTTATGTTCTTCTCCTTTGTTTTTTTCCTGTATTAATTTTCTTTTTCTTCTACTTTACCCTACCGTTTTCTTTTTCTTATTTTTCCCGACTTCT